ATATTTATATATATATATATATATATATATATATATATATATATATATATATATATATATATATATACACATCAGGAGCCAGTCCAAAAGAAAAAACTATTTAAATATATAGCTTCAATTCACCACATCGCGGTGTTCAAAAATTAAACTTTTAAAATACAATAAACTAAATCAAATCAAATACATCTTGTAATATATACTAAGTTTCGGGGCGCAGCCCCTTCGTCAGAAATGTTTCCTTACTAATCCTAAGCCTTATATATTATAAGATATATATATATATATATCTTATATATCTTATATAGAAATTTATTTATTATATATATAGAAATTAGACACTGTATATTATATATATATATATATAAATTATATATATATATAATATATATAATATATATATATATATATATATATGCGTTGTAAAGTATTCTGTCTGAAGATGACTTTGTAATAAAGTCGAAAATTTACAGTCTCAATCTGTGTCTTGTTTGAATTATATTTTGATTCTCAAGATGTCTTGTTTATTCGGAATTTGCTTTTTACTTTACTTTTTTAAATTGTCAGCTGGTCATGGTTTTTGGTCTAATCTCCGAAATACCGACGCTGATTTACACAAGCTTTGCATTCGCTACCAACAATGTCTACGACGCTTTGAGAAAGCTCAACTTGATTTAAAATTTCTACTCGATTGTAAAAAGAATCAAGTTTATCCGAAGTTCGTGAGATGGAAGAACATCACGCGCATGAAGAGAAAGAAGGCCCAAGCACGCTACCTACATCTATTGTTAAATGACGCCATACATGATAAGAAAATCGCACTTCAGAAACTTACTACGGATACTGCATGAAGGATACTGCACAACCTGCATGAAGTATAAATAAACTCATCTGCTTTTCCATCAACCGTCTCCTTTCTTCTGAGAAAACAAAGATCGTTCGCAGGCACGAGAAAAAACTCTCTGTTTTAATCAAACTGAAACGAACATCCGATGGTATTACCGAGAACCCGAACGAAACTTTTATGAACCTAACAAGTCACTCTTTCTCACCTGATGAACTTAGACATGTTAAAATTAGGACTGGGATATGGTCTGGCAACTCATCCTAACCAACTTGAAATCATGGCTGTGGCTGAAGACGTTTGGAGACAGATATCTCGACTCGACATTTTCATACTTAGAAATTAGACACTGAACCGACACTAACTAGGCTTCATTCTTTACAAAGCTACCTACTTAAACTTAATAAACGTGGTGAAATCACTGATGAACAACTCGATACTCTCAAACCCATCACAGCACATTTTGGCAGAGCGCATGCTTTGCCAAAGACTCACAAGAACTTTGTCACTCTACCGAAATTCCGACCTATAGTTGACACTACCAACACTCCTCATTATAACGTCGGCAAATTCTTATCGTCTTTACTAAATCCTCTCATTCTAAACTCTTATTCTCTCTCTGATTCATTTGATGCGGTGAATGCTATTATAACAACATCCCTAAACATTTGTTTCAAGATGGCTGACCAACTTCAACATGTGACAGACATCAAGCAGGACATAAATTTTCCCCCTCTCATCTTCAGGATGTGGAAAATATGGAATCATGTTGGATACTTTCAAGGTTGCTCCAAGGGCTGGCATCATGCTAAAATGACAGGAAGGACCATCGCATTAATAGGGCTGTGACTTTAACACCAACATCATATAAACGCTGAATACAGACTTTCACAAGATTTTCCCGTTCTACACCACTGAGGCCATCTATGAAAAAGTAACCGCAAGGAACTTTCCAAAACTCGTTAAGGCCAACAACCATGAACACTAGGGCATCTTTTGCTGGAGGTAATGTATCATCAACAACACCATTTTTAAGATCAACATAGCCATGGTACTTTTTTCCATCCCACGATATATTCTTCTTGATGGCCATTTCATCCAGCATTAAAGAGCAAACGAATTCCTTACCATTTTTCTTGGCATCTTCAACCTTGACTTTCGGCGCATTGAAAGCTGGTTTAGTTAAGCCAGGATCTGCAGCTACCTTTCCATACCATCGTCTAATTTGTGATTGACTTGGAAGAGCAATATCAAAGGTTTTCCTAACAAACTCGTACGCCTTAGCTGAGAAAAATTGCAATGTTAATGCAAACGACTTCAATGCTGGTGAGTATTTTCTTCCTTTACCTGACTTTTTTGCTGTCATCCTCTTCATTTCCTCACATTTAGTTGAGATAAGATGATGATCTTGATCTTTCCTTCTAAACGCCTAGATTTTTTTTGCGATGACTTTAGTTTTCTTTTTAATTTTTCAATCTTTGCATTTTCTTTTCTACCTCCTGCTGCAACTCATCTAATGATGATAAACATTTCTTTTTACGTGGTGGGCCTTCTTCCTCATGTGAAATTTGGTTACATTCGTTGCATTTTTATCACGAAATACTATACATGCATCGTCATCCCTATCCAACAATCGTGATCGAGTAATACAAAATATAGGCAAATGATCAGAAATATCCGAAAGCAATAAACCATTAAAAGAATAATTATCTGAGTGATTGGTAAATATGTTAGCGATAATCGTAGCAGTATGTGACGTTATTCTTGTTGGGAACGTTATTAAAGGAAAACACATATAAGCAAACATAATATCTAGAAATTCCGCAGTAGGTTGATGACTATGGTGATTCAGAAGATTCAAATTAAAATCACCCATTAAATAACAGATTTTGTTTTCCTTGGAAATTATTCCGATGAGAGTATTAAGGCTATTAATAAACTCATGTACGTTTTGGTTGGGTGGCCTGTAAACAATACCAACAATAATGTTTTTCCTCTTTTTGTTAGTTAATAAATTGAAATACCATTTTCCAGAAATTTTAATTTGTGACCTGTGAAATAAGACTTGACTTCATTGACCGTATCGCACCGTGACCCTTAGCTTCATTCTTAAGGGATTCCATACCTGTGATATTTTTGCGTCAACACAAATGGTTGATATTAGGTTAAAGCTACGAATATAAAGTACGGTTACGTGCGTTTTAGTACAGCTTATGTACAATACTTCGAAATAAGGTTTCATAAAATAAATACATCAAATAACCATAGCCGTTCAGCACATAATCTCTCAGCACATACTTACAATGAAACAAGAGCATCAATTGTAGAACGTGTAATTCGTACTCTAAAGACAAAAATGTGGCGTTATTTCACTGCTAAGAAGACCATGAGATATATTGATGTTTTATCGGACTTAGTATTCTCATATAATAATAGTAAGCATCGTAGTATTAAAAAGAGACCTGCTAATGTTACTTTTAAAAATGAACAAGAGGTATGGCATACACTATACGGAAATAGAAAAAAAGTAAAAAAAGTAAAATATAAATTTAATATAGGTGATCAAGTAAGAATTAGTAAAATGAAACGTAGATTTGAAAAGGGATATTTACCTAATTTTTCAAAAGAAATCTTTACCATTAGTAAACAAATACCTCGTAATCCTCCAGTTTATAAATTAAAAGATTATGATCAAGAAGAACTAGAAGGAACATTCTATAAAGAAGAGTTACAAATAATAATTAAGGAAGATGATATTTATGAGGTTGAAGAAATTCTAAAAAAACGTGGAAAAGGTAAAAAGAAGGAATATTTTGTAAAATGGTTAGGGTATCCTGCAAAATTTAATTCGTGGATTCCTGCTTCTCAAATAAAAGATATTTAAACAACCTTTTTGTGTTTTTTAGTCATTTATTGTTTGAAACATGAACAACACACACTTCTATATCTCACTTCCTAATGACTCTTCAAAAGATATTTTTCCTGAGAATAAACAAACTGAGTATACAGTAAAACTTCCCCATCGTATTCAACTTGATGGTGAGTGGGAAGTAGCATTACATAATATCTCATATATAAAATGGTCAATAATACCTATAAATGGAGAACCTATTCAATACATAGAAAACGGAACAAAAAAGAAAGGAGAAAAATTAAAAACATATTATGAATCACTTGATGAATACATAAAGAATATGAACAATTTATTTACAGATGAAATTAAAAAGAAAATTAATTTTAAAATTCATTCCAGAAGAGTAACTATCTCTTTAGAAAGTGGATATAAAGTTAATTTACGAAGAGATCAAGCTATTATTCTAGGATTTTTAACATCTGAGGATTCATCTATTGAGAGAAAAATTGAATCAAGCGAGACAGCAACTCATGAGGGAAATCTACATAGAGAAACAGATATTTATGTATACTGTAATATTGTACAACCTCAAATTGTTGGGGATAAAACTATTCCATTACTTGATATTGTCCCTATTAAAAAAAATAGAAAATATGTTAAGCAGACACATTACATTCCTGTACAAACCAAATCTTTTGAAGAAATACAGATTCTTTTAAGGAGTAGTACAAATGAACCCCTCTCATTTGAACGTGGACGTGCACTGGTAACACTACATTTCAAACGTAAGAGTTATTTTTAAAATAATGAATCGTCAACGAATTCAGGAGGGGAATGGTCTCCGTTTTTTTCGTACTGTTGGAAATTTTTTAAAACCTATAACAAGAGAAGTAGGTAACATTGGTTTAAGTGTAGGAGTACCATTACTTCAAACCTTGATTAATGATTTAATCCCGGGAAAAAGTTCAAACCTTTCAGCAAAAACACATAGTAAAAAAGCAGGAACACGTCAAGCAGCTAATATGGCTGCAGAGAGAGCACTACAAGCATTGCTCTTAAATCAAATGAAAACAAAACAAACAGGTGGAAAAAAACGTAAACGATCTCAATCTAGAAAACGATCTCGCTCCAGGAAACGACCTAAAAAACAAAATCAAACAGGAGGTAGAAAACGACAAAAACGAAAAAAAAAAACCGTAAAACAACAACAAAACAAAAAAGAAAACCTCAAAAAGGAAAAGTCTGTAATAGTCTGTGATAATAATAATAATAATAATAATAATAATAATAATAATAATAATAAAGATGAATAACTATGTACATCCTAACTCTGCACGATGTGATAAAAGTGAGATTGATTTATTTGATATTCCTTCTACGCAACTCAGTTTGGAAAAAGGACGATGGATTGATTATCACGCACTCTCTAGTGTAGAAAATGATGATGGACCAATTACATTTCTAATAGCAGGTACCGAAGATTATATTGATATGTCAAAAATGATTCTTGTAATTGAACTAAAAATGACAAAATCCGATGGTACCCCTCTAGGAGGGAATGAACAATCAAGTGTAGCTCCTATTAACAATTTTCTACATAGCTTGTTTAAACAAGTTGATGTTTACTTAAATGGAAAACAAGTTACACCAGCAATGGGTACTTATGCTTATCGTGCCTATTTGGAAACCCTCCTAAACTATGATGTCTCAGCAAAACAATCTCAGCTCACCTCTGCACTATACTACAAAGATACCCCCGGACATATGGACAGCACAGGAAGTCTTCCAACGGAAGAATCTGTTACAGTTGTTACGGGGCATACCAAGTCTAGTAGTAACATCTGGAATGCTCCCACAACAAAAACTCTGAAATACTTAGTACCAGGAAGTGGAAATCAAGGTTTTGCTAAACGTCATAAATTTATTCAAGATGGAAAACTATTGGTAATGGCAGGACCTATTTTCTGTGATGCATTTATGACAGAACGATTATTACTCAGCATGGTGGACCTTAAAGTAATCCTAAATAGAAACTCAGACAAATTCTGTTTAGTAGATAAGAATAATGTGGTTATGAATGCAAAAGTCAAACTTGTGGATGCAACACTTAAAGTACGTAAAGTTAAAGTCAACGATACAGTTAGTAAAGCACACGAAATGACCCTAAGATCTGTACCTGCTACCTACCCTATACGACGTGTCGAATGTAAAGCCTTTACCATCCCTGGGAATCTTCCCCAAATAAGAAAAGATAATATGTTTGCAGGAATTATTCCAAAAACATTTATATGTGGATTTGTAGAGGCTGATGCTTTTAGCGGTGTTTATGGTAAAAACCCCTATAATTTTCAACACTTTAATGTGTCATCAGTAACATTAACAGCCAACGGAGAAGAAATACCTTTCAAACAACTTGTTCTTAATCATAAAGAAAACAAAGAAAATTTCATTCAAGCATACAACACACTATTCTCTGGTACAGGAAAAATGAACATGAATACAGGTCTTGATATTGATAGAGAAGATTATTTTAAAGGATTCACCCTTTACGCATGGGATCTCACCCCTGATATGTGTGGTGTTTCTCCCTATTTTAATACAGTACAACGAGGATCGCTGACACTTGACATCACGTTTGCTGCTGGGGATGTTCCTACCAATCCTATTTCTCTCGTATGCTATGGAGATTTTGAAAATATTATACAAATTGACGCAGAGAGAAATGTAATGTATGATATATCCTCATGAATACTAGTGAAATCAAAAACATACTTGAACATCATTCTGTAACTAAGAAATATTTTTGTGGAGTATTTGCTGCTGATGAAATTCCAAAAAATTTAAATACTTTCCCATGTGGGTTCGTCGTTAATACAGATCCAAGTTCAAAACAAGGGACACATTGGGTCGCCTTCTACTTTACCTCTAAAGAAAATGGTGAATTTTTTTATAGCTACGGAAAACCACCATATTACTATAAAGATATATTCAAACCCTCTTTTGAAACTCTTAAATGGAATAAACGTGTTTTACAAAGTCATTGGACCGAAGTATGTGGACAATATTGCATTTTCTATTTATATCAACGATGTCGAGGATATACAATGAATGAAATTGTAAATATGTTCACTAACAATACATCATGGAATGATTGTAATGTTGCATGTTATGTTAAGAAAAATTTTAATGTTATTATATTTAATCAACCCATTCGTGGGCTTAATCAATGTTGTAAAAAATTATTTTAAAAACCAATAAAAAACAAAAAACCAATTTTATATTTTAAAATTTTATTAAAAATATTTTTAATATATGTACAACCTTTTAAACAAAACATTTTTCATACGTTTTTAAAAACGTATTTACAATCTTAAAATCCTGCAGAGTTTAATTTTCTTCCTTTTCCCCAGTTCTTCCCCACCTTCTTCTTTCCAGTAAGAACGTCTACAATATGTTTAGGTTTAAGTCCAAAGAAATTTCTTCTTTTAAGTTCATAAAGTATATCCCCCGCTCTTTTCATCTTTCCTATTTTATATCTCATAAATTCATTAGCCCCAATAGTACCTCCACTCTGTCTCTTTCTCTGGGTCCTTCTTTTTCTTTGAGATCCTTTTCTTCCACCCATTTTTCTAGTCCTTACTCCTTGAAGGATTGAACAATACTCTCCCCCTTGAAATATTGTTTACATTTTTATTCTTTATTTCTTCAAATGTCTATCAAAAAAACGTTTTCTCTTCATTCTAGTAAGAAGTTTAGCGAATTCCTTATCCTTATTCTTATTCCCTCCACTTTGCGCTCACCTTCTTTGTCTCGAGAGTCTTCTATCATTGGGTGCTAATCCTAACCAATCTCTTTGCATAAAAATAGTCCCCCCTTTTTGGTTCTTTTTCCCCTTATTCTTCATCCCCCTCTTTTTCTTCTTCTTCTTCTTCTTCTCTTCAAGCTCCTTCTCCTCTTTATTATATTGATCAGAGAAACTTTTTCCTAACTTATTGAAAAAACCTATTCCAAAATCAAAACCTTTACCTATTTGACTCTCGTCCTTACTCTCCGGAAGATTAAACGATACTCGTAGTCTAGTGGCGAAGACAATGGTCTCCCAAGTGCCTAGCCGACGGTTCGAATCCTACCATAGCCGTTTTTCATTATGAACTTCGTGAAAAGGATAAAGCAAATTAAATAACCATAGCCGTTGCAAAAGATCTTGTAGCCTAGTGGCTATATGACAATGGTCCCCCAAATGGTAAGTCCATGGTTCGAATCCTGCCATAACGGTTTTTCAATATGAATTTCGTGAAAAGGATAAAGTGAAATAAATAACCATAGCCGTTCAGCACAAGATCTTGTAGTCTAGTGGCAAGTACAATGGTCTCCCACGTGTAAAATTGGTCGTTCGAATCCTACTAGAACCGTTTTTCATTATGAACTTTGTGAAAAGGATAAAGTAAATTAAATAACCATAGCCTTTCAGCACAAGATCTTGTAATCTGATTACGAAGACCACAAGATCTCCCAAGTGATACATCGATGGCAATGGATTCCTAAGTCGTAAATCGATGGTTTGAATCCTACTATAACCGTTTTTCATTATGAACTTCGTGAAAAGGATAAAGTACGTTAAATAACCATTGCCTTTCAGCACAAGATCTTGCAGTCTAGTGGCAAAGACAATGGTCTCCCAAGTGGTAAATCGATGGTTCGATTCCTACCAAAACCGTTTTTTCATCATAAACTTCGTGAAAAAGATAAAGTAAATTACATAACCATTGCTGTTGCAAAAGATCTTGTAGCCTATTGGCTACGACAATGGTCTCCTAAATCGATGGTTCGAATCCTGCTTTAACCGTTTTTCAATATGAACTTCGTTAAAGGGATAAAGTAAATTAAATAACCATAATCGTTCAGCAGAAGTTCTTGTAGTCTGGTGGTCAAGATGATGCTATCATGTGTCGACAATCGAAAGATCGAATATCTTTTTAGATGGAAATTTTCGTTATTAATATTACATGGTAAGGTTATGGAGAATAAGTTAGTGTACGATTCCAACAATCACTAGTTAGCCTTGCGGTAAAGTCGTGGACTATCAAGTACAAGATCGAGGTATCAAGAACAGGACCGTACGTTTCTCGTGGCGGTAAAAGAAAGAAAAAATGGTAGGTATGTTGCTCGGAAAAGGTTTATACTCGCTAAATCTTTGGAAATAATAGTTAATCTTTACCGAAATCAGGGGATAGATAGGGTGAATGAGGGGTATATGAGTACAAAAGACTTAGTTATTGAGCGGCCTCGGCTCCCAGGGTAAGGGGAAAGGTATAGGTGAGAAAACAGTATATAAAACGTTTAAGTCTTTTTGTACTCATTTAAACCTCTTTACCCCTATTTATCCTTCTATTTATCCTCCTATTTATTCCTCTCTATCCCTACTTTTTCCTATCCTTAGGTATCCCTAGCTATCCCCTTACACAATTAAATGTTTGAAGAAAGCTTGCTTTGAAAGTTAGGTAAGTCGGGGGAAAGACAACCCCCTCAGTCTACTCCTCGCCCAAGGCGAGGGCATATTCGCCCTCTCGCTCTACTCCTCTCACACTCACAAATTCTCACCTTATTACCTTTTTCTTTTTCGGTTTGTTCAGGACTTGAACCATCGACTGCATACTTGGCAGATCACCGTCTTCACCACTACACCACCAGTTCTTGTGGTGAAAGCCTACATTTTTTCTCAAATGAATAACAATTTAAATGGATTTATTTTCTCAAATCTCACACACTGTATCTTTACTATCTTATTCGTAGCTTGTAACTTAATATTAGCCATTTGTGTTGTCGCTAAAATATCACATACAGGTATGCAGTGCCGTAAAGCACGATCTGTCATAAGTTATAGTTATATGCAGTGCAGGTGAAGCTAATGGTTACGGTGCGATTGTTTTGTATTTTTAATGAAGTGAAGTCAAAGTAAAGTACAAGAATTAACAATGTATTTGAAAATAGGTTTAAAAGAAAAACGTGCAATAATTAAGAATAGCCGAACAGTAAATGTGAATTGGGATACGGAAAATTAATACGTATGATGGGTCGGGTGAAGGCTAGTTTCCACTCAGGAAAATTCTCCTTTGGATCGGACAGGACAGGAAAGTTTCCTTTGTATAAACACCGCCTGAGAACTCACCGACAAAGGAAATTTTCTTGTCTGTTCCGATCCAAAGGAGATTTTTCCTGAGTGGAAACTAGCCTTAATGCGTAATCATTACGATAATAATTGTGTTTATTTTCCTAATTTTCTTAGCCTTGTTCCGTCCTTGACCGTGCTGATATTTCTGAAACTCAGTCTGATTTATCCGTCTAAAGGCTAGTTTCCACTCAGGAAAAATCTCCTTTGGATCGGAACGGACAGGAAAATTTCCTTTGTCGGTGAGTTCTCAGGCGGTGTTTAAACAAAGGAAACTTTCGGTATGATTTGTGAGCTTAAAAAAAAGTTAAGACTCTCAGTCTTCAAGAAGACTGTAAATTTGAAAGAAATTGGAAGTAAAAAAAATTGAGAAACATTTGAAAAATTTTCGCTTCAAAAAAGTACTTGAAAATTGACAAAAAAACACAAGTAAAAAAAAATTTAAAAACATGTGTCTCCTAAAAAGACTGAAAATTAAAATATGTCCGACAAAAAACTTTAAAAAGGTTTAAAAATTTCCCGCTTTTAATGCTAATGTTTACTTACCTTAATAATTTCTTTTCACGAAAATTTGACAGGGCGCTTTTCTCGAGACTGAAAAAATTTACTTTTTTGAAATTCTCCGAGATTTTTTTTTGACGAAGAAGTATTTTGGCTTGGGCTACTGTGTCAGTCTTGACAACAAATAACGAAAATTTCCATCTTGACAACTTAATAACGAATATTTCCATCTAACACGAGATTCGAACCTTCGACTGGCGACACATCGTCAGCTGAGGGTTAACAAGGTCTATCTGCTCTATGACTAGTTTTGAGAAATAGGCAAATGAAAGTTGGCATGCTCATAAAAGGAATAGAACACAATTTAATACCAAAATGTTTTGATCTTCTACATACTATACACTAGGTTGTTTAATTACAGTTATTTGTGCCTGGCCACCCAGCATGAATTATGGGAAATAGCGGTACTACTTTTGGAGATAGACCTTTGTGACTCTGAATTTTTTGAAAAATTAGAGTTACAAAGGTCTATCTAAAATTAGTTAATTCTGAATGTTTAAAATTTTACCTGCAAAATTATTTTAACAAGTCTGCACTCAATTCAACTTGTCAACATTGTAAACATCAGTTTAAATTTTGATAATCTACTTTTCTATTGATTTTTCTGGGTAATTTCGGTACAAATCTTAGTACATTTAAAACTATGAGGATTGTAAGTATATTAATAATATAAAAAGGTTAATTACTTTCTTTTTAGCTATAATTTATACATAAGTATATATATTTATAAAAATCACAAGTTAAAAGGTTCATAATGTACTGTAGTTGTGCTTGCAATAT